AGCTAGTGCACTGAAATTTACAGTTAGTTGTTTCTTTTAAATCTGGTATGAATTGGAATCAGGTACTCCTGTTTAGAGTGTGTAAATTGTGATTTATATGGGTATCATGGTGTGTTCATTTTCATTACACTTTAATTAATTCATTATCACATTAAAAAAATAATATATTAATTCATTCTTACCAACTTCTATATTTAATTGAAAAAAGAAAAACATCAATGTCTTTACTTATTAATATATAATTACTCCCATAAAAGTAAATTCTAGAAACATAAAACTTATATAGCTGTCTTAATAAAAACAGTCTTTGTGTTTGTTGTTTAATTTAAAAACTGATACAGTCTTTTAATTTGATCTATTGCGAAAATAACAGTATAGTACTGCAGGCTTAATAAGTTTCGACTGATTGAATGTAATAAAGATCAGTCAATAACGTCAGAAAGCGCTATTTCATTTTCTATTGGCTTCGGCTTGGTTCAGTTTTCATTGGTTAGCAGTCGCTTGAATAGTGGAAATCTTGCACTGCAGAAATAACCTCCTTAGGTGGGAAATTGAAATTCATCACCTAATATCCGAACTTTTGCCTTTTCAGCGTTATTTTAACGGTGATTTTTCAAATGATACCGTAATTTCTATTATTTAATAGAAAGTAGGGCTTTCCCTTTCTTATTAGGTTCAGCCAAATCTAACTTTAGTACCTTCACGTTTTGTAAAAAGATTTCATTAGTTTAAACAAATCAATGGTAGTTTTAAGTGATTGGAGACGGGGGGCGGGGCTGCGGGCAGGCGGGGCGGCCGCGAGCTGTCTCCCGTGTGGCTGCAGTGCCTCGTGTAGCACCATGGGATTCAGCTCACGGCCCGCGCCACTAACCACCACGCCACTAACACCACACCAAAGGACATCTCTAACGACACTAACCATCGACCCTGGGGCCGTACTCTTGGGGCTAAGAGCGCAATAGGAATTTTAAACAGATGCTTTTTTTCATGCTGGCGCTTTATTGCTACTACTTGGCTATTCGTGTTTGCTATTTGCAAACTTAAATTTAAACAGCCTGTCCTTTTCATGTTTTATAATGTTACGAATGAAAAGGAAAGACTGATGTCAAATTAACAAATTGCCAACTGAAGTGCCTGCTTGAAATGTGAAATAAAATCGCAAACAATAAGGAACTTTATAGGGCACAAAAAATATGTATATCCGATTTATAATAAATGATTTTTTCCTCAGTGCGCGGACGTAAGTCAATGTTATGGGTCCCAGATTAGCGATTGTTTGCAACGATTAAAATTCGTAGTACGCGCTTAGCCTTCCCCTTAATGTATACTCGCTATATCGTGAACCGTCGTATCATGTCCTGCAAAGGCAAGGCACTACGGTATTAAAAAATATCTAAATAAGAGAAAGAAGACGCTCACGATCTATCGAGAGTCAACTGTAAGAGTACAGGCGCTTACCCATGTGTGCTTCGGGTTAACTCGTCATAACAATATGTTGGGTGCTCGAATACGCCTGGCGATGCGTTGTAAACTTCGGTTCTTTTTCGGTGTTCGTAATGTGCTTGGAAATTCCTATTGCCAGCACTTCGCTTGGTTATTCGTGTTTGCTGTTTGTAAAGCGCATCAGTCTGTCCTTTTCACTCCTTGTAGAGCATTATAAGGACACACCGATGTCAAGTTTACAAATAGCAAACCCGGATAGCCAAGTTAAGTGCTGACATATTATTAGCTATTTGTAAATTTTACAGTAGTCTACTTTTATTTCCTAAAGAGTATGATAAGAATACTGCTGTCAAAATTACGAATATCAAGTACCTATAGCCAAGTCAAGTGTTGATAAAAATATAATTTTGTGGAAGTTTCAACGCATCCCGTGGTCGTCAGCTTCGTTTCCACAGAAGAGGATTTAAAGATTTTTTAATACAAGGAGTTCTCGAGTTTTATTGCATTTTCTCGGAACGTTTACTGATCTTATTCGCTTTTGTGGAAGCGCGCACTTTGTCAATCTATATTGTGCAGTTTAACTCTTTAGCTGTGTGCTGGTTATGTGCAACGTATGAAGTGAAGGTTTTGAACGAGTGTTTTGAAGGTGTTTGTGTGTTTCTTGTCTTGTAATGCTGGCACTTCAGTTGGTTATTCGTGTTTAATATTTGTAAACTTTAAATCAGTCTGTCCATTTCATTCCTTATTATGATTAGGACATACTATTGCCATGTTTCCAAATAACAAACACGAATAGCCAAGTGAAGTGCCGGCATAACTTTAATACATTTGTTAAATGTTGCATTGTTGTGATTCGTTGCATATAATCTGTTTGCAGTCTCACATTCATCAGGTTTTGTGTTCATAATTTTATTTTAACTCGAGTGTCGTGTGTTTCTATAATTTGTTAAAATTATTATAAAAAGTATTAGTTTCTCAAGTATTAGCTACACTGAACTGAATGATTCACACACATTTTACAGTGTACGAAGTGGCGCGATGAAAGATTTAATCAGTAACTAACAATGTGTTATCATCGTAATATCCTTCAGTCAATAATCCGTTTCGTCGTTTTCTTTATTCATCGAAAATTCTAACCATATTTGTAAATGTAAATAAGAAGGTTTTATTATCGTATTGTGTGAATAACATTGGCATTTATCAATTTAAGCAGAAAAAGTCGGTTAATGAGAAGTTACACAATTAATCACTGGGAGCCGATTTACAGTTTTAGAAATACTAATCTAAATAAAATAAAGATGCAAAAGCTTTGTTGACGGGGTAGACTAAATTATCTTTAGTCTGTCACTTACATTATCAAAAAGTAATGGATACTTACCATGTTTTTGCCAATCAAGCAAGCAAAAAATTACAAAGATAAAGCACTCCAAAGTTTGTGAGTGGGGGCTCGTGGACGTCGGCTCAAAACGTGTCGTCATGCGATATTTCAAATCAATATATCTCTCTAATATACTGATTATGTGAAAAAAGAAAAAATACGCGACTTATACTTTTTGATAATCCACCTGATAGATGAAGAAAAAAATATTAGTCAATTTCCCTAATGTTCATTTCTTTACGTATAAGGACATAGCTATTACTTGCTTGCACATGAATCTCTTTAATAGATTAGTATCTCAACGGCAAATGGACTCCCTGGTCCGAAATACTTAATAAATATATCTGATGGCAACAAAAACACACTGATTACACAAAAGGTGTGCGAATACTGAGTTGCCACATAATATTAGGACGCTAATACTTTTACATATAGACTTCTTGACACATCTATCGGCTCACTAAGGCCCGTATTACAGAATGACAACCAAGTGTTGTTCTTTGCTTGAGTACAGCTAGAAAGGGATGTCGCTATGTGCTATATATAGCGACATCCCTTTCTAACTATGCTCAAGACTAGATCAATCACTGAGAATCTTTCTATAATACGGGCCTTAGTGTTATAAATTTCAATGGTCTGTAGCAAAAAGATATATTTATGGTTGAACATAATTATTAATAAATTTAAAAAACATCGAATACAAGTTTTATAAATCAGCTTCAAAACTGCATAGGTAATAACTTTTTGCTCAAGTTAACATTTATTTTTAGCTAAGGACCGTCAAATCTTAAAATGCTAGGTGGGCCGATAGATGTGTCCAGAAGTGTAGATTTAAATTGAATTCAATAAAACACGACACGTCGAGGACCTTCCATCCTCATCTTGATTTTCATTATTTGTGAGGGTGATATATAATAACATTAGATTATTATTACTAACATGAATAACGATGTTTCATATTTTGTTACTTGTTGTATGCCGACACTTCACTGGGTATTCGTATTTACTATTTGTAAATTTGAAAACAGTATCTTTATCATTCTTTATTAGAAATGAAAAGGACAGACTGATGTCAAATTTACAAATAGCCAAGTGAAGTGTCGGCATTACAATAGCATATTTTTTTTTGTTACAACAATGTATGCCATGTACGTGCTTAGTTTCTGTACCAAATAAAATTTTAAACAATTATTAACTGTTTTATATAAGATTTATTGAGAATTTTACTGTATAACAATTTATATGTGTGTGTTTTGTATCTTCTGTTTGTCTAATTAACGTCCCAGAATCGATATTTAACATGAAATTGTTATTGATTGTGCTGGTGGTGAAAAAACAATCAAAAGTGCCCGATGATTGTTATCTTTTTGAAAGTGACATTTTATTCCAATGGCCTAATCTGGAATCCAATGAAAATTTTTATTCTAATCTCTATAAATATATAGTAACTCGTGTTAATATATAGTAACACCCAGGCGTTCTAATCATGCATTTGCAATAACCTCTTGAGACTAAATGTTCGATAAAAAGCTGATGTTAATTTTTGGGGCAAAAAAACGTAGGTACTATGCGATTCAAATAAGAATAGGAAAGCCAATGACCTCCATCTGACAAATGTCGCTTGTAAAGTACGGTTTGCAAAAAAAACTTGGAACACTATTTAGTACTGAGCTAATCTTAAAATAAAACCAAACATTTGTAAACAATAGAAGGAAATAAATCATATGAAACATATCGAAAATTAGTACTAGAAAGGGAAAATATAAGAACTTTAGTTTTATTATAAATGCAGGTAATAAAAAGTCCGTTTTTATTTTAAATAAAGTTGACGTTTTAACACCTACAATAATCGATATTTTATTGTATAACCGAAAGCAGCAGTGATAGTGATGATTACTCCGACGGTAGTGGAGAGATAAGCGGAATTAAAGAGCTAGATTCTGATTAATGTTTTTTCTCACTCAGTCCTAATAAATAAATATTATTAAAAATCTTATATTTTGCTCACTTAATCTTTGCAAATAAGTTTTATTAAAGAAAAACTTGAATGCTCACTGAACTTAACTAGTTTGAATTAACAGCTATGCCAATATGGCGCCCAGTCGGTCCTATTCTTAGTTTGAATCGCATTGTACTTTGCGTAGTCAGAAACGATAAAGTATCTCTTGTGTGGTTGCAGAGTCACTGGAGTTGGAGCCTTTCCTCGCGCTGGAGCCGCCGATGTCTGCCAACGACTACGGGTTCTGCCTAGACCACGACGAAGGCCTCTCGGAACTCTTCGATTTTGAGTTCTGAGCCAACGTCATAAAGCATTAATTGATATTCGACTGATCCTTCGAGAGACGGTGGCAAACGTTCCGTATAGTTTTCCTTTTTCGTTTCTGTAATTAATGATACGCAATATATTTATTTTTATTGCACAATCTGCGGCGTGTGTGTTTTTTTGACACACGTGCCGTGGTTGATTAGGCTCTTGTTTATTTGCCCACAATTATTATTCCATCCGGTGAAATAACACAGATGCTTATTTATGTTATTAGCGACCCGGATGTAGATGTGAATTCGCAAGTTTGTGAGAAAAAATTAAGAACTAACATTTCAAATAGAAAAATACCAATAAAGTATATATAAAAAATGTGGCACAGAAATTCGTGATAGATGTCTTCTTTCGTTGCTGACGTATTTTGCAATTATTCAATTTCCCAAGTTACTAATTGAACCAAAATAGCAAGTATAAGTAAAAATATTTGTAAAAAGCGGCCATCAATGTTTTGAAGTAAAATTGTAGGTACTTGTGTTTAATACAGTTGCAACATTTTTGCCTATAAAGTTTATATTGTAGACCGTACAACCGACCGTAATTGCATTTATGTACATCGTACATTCTTGTGTATTTCAAAGTGTTTCGTTCCACTTTTATCAAAAACATTACTAGGATGTATCCTTTATTTATTTATGGTCGATTTTTATTTGTGTACAGGTAACCATTTTATTATAAAAGAAATCGACAAAATCCTCTTGCAGTGTATGTTTATAAATTCAACAGTTATTGTCACAGTGAATATCTACTGAGTGTTATGATTTATGGACCTATACTCTTCTGATTGTTGCTTGTAAGAAGAAACCATTTTGTATTGGTCATAAGTTTTATTTTACAGTAAGACGTTTAAGTCTACTTACTATTGACCGTGTATTTATTTATTTCTTTGGTGTGGTTCATTCGTTTGTTGCTGCCGTCTCAGGTGAATGATCCATTAATAAATGTTCCTTGAACTATGGATGTGTGAGGAGTGAAATCCGCACGAACTCAACGCGTCAGCGACAACAGAAGCCTCTTTATATAAAAAGATTTATTATATACAACGTTGATACGTTGGTGAAATAAGAGATTAATCTAAATGTATATAAGCCGCAGGTTCGGCGAGATTCGATATCTACGGCTTTGTGCAGGGTTTCCCGTAAACGTGGATATTTAGGGCGCGGAGTGTTATCTTTTCGATAGCTTGCTAAAACAAAATAGCTCTATTTAAAACTTACTATAGAGTTGTATCTATTATTATTTATTTGACCAGATTGACGGACAGTATAACATGAATAAATTCATCACTAGAATCAATAATAATCAACTCTAGTTTTATCAAATCCGAATCAATATGTTCAAAATCGTAATTTCGAGAATTCACTGAGTCTATAAATCTAAAAAATATTTAGAGTCCTCCAAACTCTCCACTCCAAAAATTTGCTTGCGAGACTTGAATCCATGTCAACACCAATCCACGGCAGCAGCAGCAGCAGTCATACGCTCCAGCGGGTTCCCATTAATAGGCTGATAGAAGAATGAACCCTATCCGCATTGCGCCTGTGTGGCATAGGGCCTGTGCGGTGCTGCATAATCCGTACTCTATTCCATTCATAGTAAAGGCCTGTGTGTCAACAGTGATAGATGATGAGGATGATAAGTATAACAGCAAACTCACACTGGCACGGTGCCCACCTAAGCAACGTGACAGAAACGTGATTGTCCACCGGCATGTAGCATGACTCTGGCATTACATTCTATGAACCCACCAGCGAGGCTTTTCAGAGTAGAACGGCATTCGAGACAATCGATGTCTGATGAAGATCAAGATGAGCTTGCTTATTTTTCAAATTTAAATATTCAAAACGGTAATTTTTGGGAACATCTTATATGGAAAAAAGTTAAGAACTGGTTGCACCATACGTTGTTTTGAAGGAATTATATATTTATACGGTCTTTTTTGAACCAATTCAATAAATTTTGTATTAAATTCTATATCGTCCTATACTGTAACTGACATAATCACTGCAAGTTTCGTGTTGCGCGTCACTTCATTGTATCACTAGTAGCACGCTGCGTGGCACGTCAGGTCGTGTCGCGCTACGCCACGCAAATGGGCCATACATTTATTTTGAATGTTGATGCTAGTGGCAAGTTACATGCCAGATCATTTGTCAGATTACGTGTCACGTTGCTTAGGTGGGCAGAACACCTAAGAGGGCGCGGTTAGTCGCTGCGCGTTGATTGCGGGTGGCGCGGCCGGGTGTACATATGTCGCTCAAACGAAGCCGGCCGCGCCCGTGTACATATTATGATGTAATGAACGGTGATATTTTAGCGGCCTTCGAATTTACTTGTAAAGCTAGCTCTAGTACCAGTAGTCATGCGTTCGCGCCGTTGGGGGGCTATCGTTTGCGTTCGTCACTGATTTGCCAAATATTTTAGACGATATACCTGAATTTTGACATGTTTAAGTTTCGTCGTGGGTACTACGTTTAGTTATTTGAACTTGTAAATAATCACCGGCCGGGCGAAGCCGGGTGGACGTTTGTATATTTTATATTAGATATTTTTTTTCTCGTGTGAAATGTCAGATGACTCGGCAGTTTATCTGAAAATGGTGAAATTTATGGTGATGTGAGTTTTGGATACTGTGTAACTAGCTCGGAATTCGTGAGGATGCAGTCAACATTTTTAGATTGCTTCGCGGTTTTATTGTTAATAATTTGTAAAGGGTTTGATTGAGAGATCACCTCTTCAGAAGTACTGCCGCGTCGTTAGCAAGTACATACACTACCTCGTTGACGCCCGTCCGCGCAGCTTCGTCCCCCGTCATCGTATAGTGTACAGCACAAATGTCATTGTAAAAAACCTATTGATAAGTGCATATCAAAATAATTTTAATGTTTAGTATTAATTTGGAGGCGTGCGGGAACATGTGTGTGAGAGGCATGATTTGCGCGAGGATTACTCTTCAGGATACACTGTCAATTTGTTAACTTGCATATGAAAATGTGTTTCGTCCAGTGTACCTACTAGAATCATTCCTCGTTTGCAGTAGTCCATGTTTTTTCTTTCTTTTATCTGAACCTTGAGGATTTCACTGTTGAAATGTACGCACAGAAAGTTTACAAAAAAAAATTTCACCGTGTCTAATATTTATGTTACACGGAATCCTCGTTATCACGCTTAAAGTATCGCGTTTCTATGCGCCAGACCTCCCTTCATAGTATTAATAATTTCATTTTATTTATTATCTTATGGTGTGTTTACTTTTATCCTGTGAGATCGTTCCCTCTCTATTGGGGTGCATGTATACACCACACATACGAGCTGAAGCCACAATGAAATTAAATCTTATCCAATGAATTTATATAGACGTATTTTTGTTTCGATATCGTTAACGATTAAGTTTTAATATTTTGGTTTGATATTATTTTATTGATTCGTTTTAGTAAGTACATTTAAAAGGCACTGACAGGCTTGTACTGTTGATGACGACTCGTCACAGATTATCGTTGCGAAGTCGTCATAACATTGCCAGTTATATAAAATACCACGAAGGTTTACGGTGACCGTTTTGTAATATAACCGTCGTGAAGTCGCCATAAATCGGCTTTCATCTAATGTAAAAAGCTATTCTTCTCTGTCTTATTTGGTTTTTATATAAAATTGTTTGAGACACAAATTCTGGGGCCAAACGTACGAGAAATGGAAGTACAAATTAAACAAGAGTTTTCTCGTAATTTAGTTTAAGGTTTTTACGCTACTTCCATCGATGACGTCGATCGACACATTGTAACATTTTATGAGTTCTGAATTGACAAAGGCGCGTCTAATGTTAAAGTTTTCTTGTCTTATACAATAAGTAGCATAATCGTTATGTGGAAAAACAATTCATTATGTGCACCCATATCAGAGTGCCGAATACTTACATATTTTTGTATCCTATTAAACGACGCAGTATTTATAATATATATATGTATATGAAAAGCAACAATTTAGTTTGTCTAATTTATTTAAATGTGGAATAATGTTAACATTTAAAATAATTACATTAATGCAAATCTTAAGAATGTCTTCATTTCTGTAGTCAATTTCTTTCTATTTGTGTTTTTTTTGTAGAGATTAAGCTTTATACAATGATACAAACCATTTGATTGTGCAAAGATACAAATATTGCAACAGAAATATGGATAAAGCTGTGATAACAATTTTTCAAATTAATAATTTACCGTATTTAGCATTTTATACCTATATCTAATCTTGTCATATACTGGATCTATACTGCAAAAATAATGTACCTGTATCGATGACCAATGCCGACTCAAGACTACTCTATAATCAGTTTAACCTGCCCACAAACATTCACGATTGGGGTTACTCAGCTTAACTATAAATGTAAAATATGTAGTTAATTTGTAACACAGCTTTATCTATGTTACTCTGGCACATTTTACGAGGTTTTTGCTATGATGTAGCATTGCAAAAATTGCATTACGTCAAGTCTATTTTGATTTTTTGGAAACATTGTTGAAAACTGCGTATCACACACCACTCGCACCAAAATGGTGGCTGAAATTGGTCGTAGCAACGACAATAATACAATATGGCCAATGAAAAACTGTTAGCTTGCGTCGGTATTAGCTTTAAAAGAAGTCAAATTCTAAAGTTTAGTCGAATTTGTACTGAATAAAATACGTCTTGTTCAAATTAGCGTTATAAACGCCATAAGTTCTTGAAACAATAGTAAAGAAGACCACCATCACAATGTAATTGAAGTTTTAATCAGTGTTTCCAAGAAAAAAATAAACTATTTTTGGTAGGTATTTAACCTTCACATTACCGAATAGGTGCTTCGATTAACAATACTATAGATCGATACGGTCAGCGCATAAAATCCGTCTCGGTAAATATAGCCTCACTTGAGGCGTGAGTATTTTCAATTAGTTCAGTTAATATACAGCCAATGGGGGGTCGGTCGGTAAAAGGTCGTAATATGACATGACACACAGGAATAATAATTTTATTCCTGTGTGTCATGGTAACTACTATGAAACAATAATTACAAAATAACATTACAAAGTATTAGGTTCAACTTTAAACTGTTTTAAAACATTTCTCTTTGTTCATTGGGAACCAAATGCAGCTGCTTAAGTATATACTCACGCGGACAGTTTTTAGCTTTGATTTTGTATGCAACCCGTTATCTATAGAATTGTTGATCGAAGAATAGATGTATGCAAAATTGTCTGTCCGTATTTTTATTTCACATGCAAATAGGGTATTTTCCAAACAGCAAAATAAAAATAAATAAATTAATGTCTTTTTCTCCATTACACCAATTAAAGATGTTTTTTTTAATGGTTTTGAATTTTCGATGACGTCTGATGTGTGACGTCAACTTTGAGTAAAGAATTTAACACTTAAGTAGTCTGTGGACGATCTAACTCGATTTTACTTCTTGTTTACACAAAGTTGACGTCACGCGTCATCGTTATGGCGGTAAATTCAAAACCATTAAAAAGAAATTTAACTTTAATTGTTTGTCCCAATCTTTAAATATAAGCAGTTTTCAAAAATTTGGAAAATACCCAATTATTTTCTTTGCTTTGGTATTTTCTGTTGGAGGAAATGTATGAAAATTTGTTAATAAAAATTACCAAAAGCATTGATAATTAATTCCCACAAACATTTTATACCACGGCAACAAAAAGATCCGTATAATAATGCTATTTGTACATATTCCAATGATTTGTGCTGAATCTAATAATTTGTTTCATTAAACCTGTTTTATGAGGTTTGAATAAAATTGTATTCGGGGTAGCGAATTATTATCAATTACAACGAGTTGTGTCCATTGCGTCACTCGACGGTCCACAGGGTCCTAAAGTAGTATTCAGACAATATTTGTTAACCCACTCGTGTATCGGACTGCGACACCCGCCGCGGAATGTATCACGGATGTGATGTTCTCACTTTTAAGTCTTAACTTGTACTTACTTTATGTTGTGTAGTATAGGTAGCGGCGAACTTCTTGAGCAAAACCACAGATAAATGAACTTAGAAGTAGAGTATAGTGCGACAAGTATCTTTATGAATGCGAGTGTCAGTTTAGGGAGGGCGCAATGTATACGTAAATGACGTACAAAATATGACGTTTACATAGACCGCAGTGTTAGTTCCAGTTTTCGCCATATTCATAAAGATCCTTGTCACACTATACATGGTTTTTGTACGTAAAATGGCTACTGCGCAGTCTCCGTTCTCCATGATTTATGCTCGAGAAGTTTACCGGGGTGTATCCTTGTCCACGGGCGCTTCTGCTAATGTGTAGATACAGTGCGAACAGTGTCGACTAACGGGGTTGTATCCAAGAGACGTTTTTATATGTTACGATACATACAAACTCAGTGCTACAAAGAAAAATAAGACTTTTTGACGGCATGTTTTTGTGTAATACTTTATCTGGGTTTATTGTAAATGAAAATTTAAGGTGCAATGTTACAATATTAATGTATGTATCTATGGAGTGCGAGGGTGTGACGACGCGGTTGTCCGCCGTTTGTTGTTGGTGTGAGGACTGTTTGGTTTGTATTCATTTGTGTTGGAAGACTGAGGTTGATTATTCCAGTTTCGACGAACGTGCGAGTTATTTGTTGATTGAATTTAAATATAAAGTCATATATATAGTTAGGTTATATTTTTTAATAAATATAATATTGAGATATGTAATATAATCTGGATTTTTATTTACATACATATGGTTACACCCATTCCCAATATATTATATTATAATTACACCTTGTATATTATAATCGACTAGTAATTTTTCTATAGAAAACCTTATTGTAAAAGAGTATTGTTGAAGAAAATATGTACATGATTAAAAACTACTTTTGGACAGGAAATAATCTGACATTTACTTTAAACAATGATAGAAATATTGCTCTCCTGGCACAAAATATAGTGGATCTTTGTTTAAAACTTGTAATAACGATCATTTGTTAATGTTATGTTTTGGAATTTACCGATGTTGACGAATTCATTAGTTAATTTTACACTTTTCTTTTCTAGACATTCATTCCACCTTAATTCTTCGCCTAAATAATGAATAATATGACATAAAAAGTTTGTCTCAATAGTGAATATTAAATTACTTTTAAGATGTTGTTCACTTAATAAAGTTGTCAAGAGGAAAATTCTTGAACGACTGACTCCAGATGTCTGTGAAGGCAGTGCTCACGAGGTCGTTGATCAAGGGCCGTATCACCGCGAAGCCGGGCTTCCACGAAAAGTTGATAATCCTGTCTAACATACCCTCTGCGAAACAAAAATATTTCAAACTGTCAATGCCAAAGTTCATTGCTAATACTAGACAGAGCTGTACCTCTAGCACGAACCATTATCGAATTCGAATAGTTTGCAAACCGAAATGTCAATGTCAAATTTTGTATGGAAACTTGAACAGCAGCGGCACAAAGTATCTGAGCGATTACATTGCATATCGTCGGGGATAGTGCAAATCCGCGAATCTACCATACGTAAAAGGTGCGTATCTGCAATAGATCCAGTTTTACAGGGGAAGGTTAAAACTTAATAACTTTATTAATTCAATTAACTTTAAGCTCATTTTTACACAAAAAGTAATTAGTAATGTGTTCTATCTCTTGGTAGAATATATATCAATTTAAGTAAATAATTAAGGCCCTACGACAATTACGCGGATTTGCTTTGACCATAAACTTATAACATTGGAACTTAAGGGGAAAGTACGCGGTTTTGAAATGAAACAAATATCATTATTTTAACAAAAATATTATTCAATGTTGAAAATAAAATTATAAAAAATTATTGAATAGTTATTTATTATACAAGAGTGGAAAGTTCCTTTTTAACCGCGTGCTCGATTTGGATGACCGAGCAAGCGAAGGATTCTAAAGTTGAATCACGAGCGCAGCGAGTGATTCTAAATTAGAATCCTGAGCGTCAGCGAGGGAAACAAACGAGCACAAGGTGAAAAATCTTTCCACTCGAGTGCAATACGTAACTTTTCATCCCACCTCAGCGAGGAAATGACAAAATGAAAAAGAAAACAATTTATAATGACAAAATATTTAAGCAATAAAACGTGAAAAACTAGAATGGCGCGAAGCACGCAAATAAAACAAAGAAACCAAGAAGGTTCCAAATTTAAATTTTTTCACAATTTAAAAAGTTCTAATCATAAATTTGGCACCATAGAGGTTACATTAAATAGGTTTAATGACGTTTTGAATTTACAATTATATTGAGTACTCATTATATGTGATGTTCTAAATTCAAATCTACTTTGCCGCTCAAGCGAATAAAATAGAATTTTCCAGCCAGATTTCGAAGCGCAAAATTACACTTTCCGAGGTGGTGGGATGAAAAAATCTTTGCCTCTTACAAAAGATAGATAAAATGAATAAATGTTAGATAAATGTAACAAAATCAACATAAACTTTTTCTCTAAAAACTCTTTGAATTACACTTATAAACTAAATTACTCTTATAAACATCAAACATATAATTAAATCTTATATTTATTCAGAGGATAATCAGCCTTTTAAGTAATTTCAATTGGAAAACTTCGGAATATCACAAATCTTAAATGTATTAATGAAATAAAATTATACCCCAATCAAACAGTCTTAGTGCTTAAAATTACGTACTTAAAAAATAATAATAGGCACTAGTAGGTAATAATTAAAATCAAATTATAAAAATCAACAAAGGAACTGAACAAAAAGATATAATTTCTAACAAAAAAAGAATAACGAAATTGTTCATTTATAAGGTGTAAACAGTTAAAGATTACAATTAGTTAATAAGAGGCAGCTACGTATTAGGTATATCTGTATGGCAAGTTGTCATAGAATTCATGGCAATCTGAAGGTATAACACTTTTTAATTGTTGTAAATGTTCATACTTTGATTTGGATATTGGCAACCTATCGGCAAAGAGCTGTGGTGGTATAAATGGCTCAATTCTTTTTGGCCTTTGTGGTAACAGTTGAAACTCGTCATTGTAGTTAAGCTTGTATTCAATTGTACCATTGGGATTGTATTTTAGTACTCTGATATCAACCACACATTTCGCACCAACCCCTCTCCCAGGGCGAATTGTATCATAAATAAAGTTATTTTTAATACTATAATCTTTAAAGAATGTGTGGTCCACTGTTGCTACCTCATATGGAGATGGATTCAGTCTAGCTTCTTTGGTAATCGAAGAGTACTGACTAGGCAAAAATATTTCACGATTTTTTAATTTTCTTTCAATTATTGAGTGAACTGAATCCACCTCCATCTGAGTGTGACCTTTTTCTAAAAATTTTTGTGTAATCACAATATTTTTTTCCATCGCCAGTAGCAGGAGAGCATTAGAAACCACAACATTTCTATTTTGTGATGTGCATCCATCACTAAAAATAACTACATCTTTTGGGCAGTCTTCTACAATTTTCTTTAAATAATCAATATAAAAAGCATAAGTTGATGCTTTTAAATCAGTAGTGGTCTCATCAAACCAATAACACTTTACATTATTAGTGCCCAGATTGTAAATTGTGAAATTATGAACCATAAGCTTTGTTTTAAAATACAGTGCACTAGCTTTCAAAAATGGACACAATTTTACAGCTTGTAAGTCAGCAGTGATAAGATGGAGTGTTCCATTTTTCGCTCTTTCTTTGTCTAAAGTCTTTTCTTGTCTAGCTAAATCTTTTCGTGACAAGTGTTGCTGATATTCTTCTTCACTAATATTACCTACTTTATACGAACAACATAGATCACATGCATCTTTTTTAGGTTGAAACAATGCTATGTTATCATCTTTTAGAACATCTTCAAATAGTTTTCTTGACGCCACTCTCTGTGCCTTTTTTTTTTGCCTCTTCAACATAGATACGATATAGTTCACGTTTAGACTGTATTATTGGCTCTACATATAATTTCGTACTTTCTTTTCTGCAGTAGTGAGAAGGCATTTTGGGCAAATCCCTTAAAAATGCTTGCACAAATTCTTTTAACGTACTCGTAGGCAACGCATTATCCTCCCTTCTGTTCATTGTTGTTTCGTTACTTGGTGTCTCTCCTAACCAGTATCTTACAGTCCACTCCTTAATGCCTAATGTCCCTAAGAATGTCTTTAAACATACTCTATATTTTTGGTCATTTAATTTCAAATAGTACTCTTTTGTACTCCTTCGTCTTGAATCAGACCTTCCAGTGGTTTTTCTGTTAGTCGGTTTTTTATCTACTAAGGATGAAACAAACATTTTTTTCTCAATCCAGCTCATCTCCCAAAATTCTTTAAAAATATTTAATCGCACAGTGTCAGTAAATTTTTCACAGTTAATCACCTTGCTCCTAATACAATTGTTTGACTTACAAGCTTCCCCAAGATTTCGCGCCGGTTTAATAGAGTCTTGTACGAATTTCTCATGATCTGTCTTCCTGAAACCTATGTATTCCTGACCTAACATTCTTAACCTCTTATTTCTAAACCTTTTTGAAGACATTTTATCAGCTTTTCGTTTCCTTATTCTAGACTCAGCTGCAGCTTTATGTTCTAAGTGGCTTTCTGGAATCAGATTATTATTACTATCCGTCGATGATGAAACTATCGGTGCAACATTTGTTATTTCAGACAATGGAGTATAATTTGGATCAGCCACAGAGTCATCTGATGAAAAATCAAGGATTGAAGATCTATTTAGTGCGTCAATACAGTCATTCATCTCATAAGAAACGGATACAACGTTGTTAGTAGCAGATATGACAGGCTCAGAAACATCTGGATCACCAAATTTCAGCAGCTCTGCTGAATTGAAAGTAATTGTGTCAGAATTAGATAAATCGCTGCCATCAGGATTCTCATTGTGATTTTCAGCTTCAGCAAAACAAGTAGTAGGAACATTTTCAACAAGCTGTGTGGTATTTTCACGAGATGTAGTCTGCTTAAGCAGAATTTGTTTTTTTATTTCCAATAAACGTTCGCGCCTTTTCTTTAAACTTATTAAGGTAGTAACATGACACGTTTCATTTTCGCTGCAGGAGTCCATTTCACTTTCCATTTTGATCCTAAAAGTAAATAAGAATCATTTTTTATGTGAGTTTAAACAACACGTAACCCACACTTATTCAAACAGCAAAACCGCGTAAATGCATTACCAAGGTTACAAAGACGAAACAATAAAGTTTAAAATAGCAGTCTTATAAATTATTTAAGGGATTTAAGGGATTTATAATAAACTGTATGCTACCCTGTAGCATACAGTTGCACAATTTAAATACTGTAGTGTATTTTGAAAAAAAAAATATTAGATATTAAGAGGTTAGAATGGTAAAAAGAACTAAACTTGGGTTATTTTAATTTAAAATATACGAATAAAACATTACATTTACACTTACCTGATGTTGGCAATGATAATTTTTAAGTAAATACACAGTTTTACTGCAAAATTAAACAACAATCTCTGTGCCGGTGTTACCAAATCACATACGCGGTGTTGAAACTTGCTCGCGACAGATACGCAGTGTTGTTATTTGGCGATTTCTGGCTTCCGATTGGTCGAAATGAAGTCGTTTCAAGTCGGTGGCAGCCTATCAAGATTAATGCGTGAATTGCTCGCGAAAACTTAAAATGGCTACATTTGTCATATACGCGGAATTATCCAATGCTAGTTACGCGGATTTGAACTATCCCCGACGATATGGCCTGCTTGCACCAAATTGCTAAATCTCTAATGACTAAAACTAGATTTAACCCATACAAAAACTTCAATGTCTATTTGACATTCTTGTAATATATATTGTTTTAGTTAAATCGGGATTTAGCAAATTGGATGCGATTGCACTCTACTGTTCTTTGGAATATAATTCTTTTTCGCCTGTACGGTCAATTACAATTTTTAAGAAAACTTACCACTTGTCCGGTTAACTGTACTACTTTAACCGGTCGGTCGCTTTTACATACAATTTTTTGTCGTACCTAATTATTGAGTCACAAAATCCTCAATAATGTAGGATGTCCGGCCTTTTTCCCCCAAATGACCGGCCAAACTGGCTGTTCTGTCCGGCTATTAGGTTTGGCTACCTGGCAACCCTAAGTGCGCGTGTCTGCACCGCCTATAGAAACGTTTCTCGTGTACGGGACAGGCGCCAGTGCCTACTCACATACGAGCACTGCATCAAAATATTGGTTATGCCTCTGTGCCTGGACCGTGTGGATTTTTTTCTATGAAGATGTTCTTCAGTACCTAACTTAAGTCCCTCACCCAGTATCCCGTTGCCTCGCAGCAGGTTGCCAACATGTATCTCCATGTCCCCTATATGGTCCACCTCTACGTGGACAGAGACTCCGTCATCGTTGCGTTTGATGCGCGTCGTCTGCGAGTAGTCGCGCAGCGTCATGTTCCAACGCCCTGTACGCATCACGCCCAACCCGAATGCGTCTCCCTGTAAGAAAATCAAATATTTACCACTAAATTACGTTAGCCACGACCGGAGGCCTCAAAAAAAACCAATTTTATTTTACTAAAACTAACTTTAATTTCCGATACAAGGAAAATTATTACAATTAAAATATAATCTAATTATTTTAAGTCACGACTCGATCGATGTAAGAATCGAAGTGACGCTCCTCGTCCGGTCACGTAGCCCGCTGCGGTGGAGGCACGAGGCTCGTAGTCAGCAGTTTACGCCAGTTGCGTCAATTGCAGCGACCGATATGCGATCTTTCGCTGAATCAGCTTTTAGGGCCGTGTGCACTGTTTTGTGGGTGACTGCTAACTCGGCGTATTCCCTTCTACGTGGAATCGTAACATCTCCCTCCCGAAGAGCAGCAACTATTTTTGGGAAAGTCGCAAAAATGTTGCTGGATGCTGGCGTGCAGGCTTTGCAGGTCCTGGTGTTGCATACATAGAGTCAAGTTTGGGCTGCTCTAATTCGGTCTTCGGATCTGCATCCTTATTCTTGTAGTACGTCGCATACTTTCTGTACAGGATGATAGTAGCGAGCACGAGTACAATCATCAACACTACATAAAATGGCAATGTAGTGTGGTAAAGTGAGTCTGTAGAAGTCTCATATAGATGAACTGCAGTTTGAGATGAGATTTTATCTTGAATTGTTCGAAGATCTCTAAGGTTGATTGATGACAGCTTCACAGGAGGCGGTGCAGCGCTATTTGGGGCACCGTAGTCTGAGATGTTCAAAATTTTCATGGGTTGTCCTTCAACTCGATCGTTGGTGTTATAGATAGTTGATTCCTTCGTCCTTATTGAGCATTGAGATGGAATAGTGATGAGGTAACTTCCTTTCAGCATTTGATAGTCGTTACGTTCGCAGATAAGTTGAACTTGCGTGGGACTGGGAAACATGGCGACGTAGTGGCGATCGTCTAGTCTCTGGATGTCTTCCCTCAGGATACGAACGGGTGTTGGTTGGCAGGTATCATCTAGTCGTTGGTGGTAAAGGAGTTCCTGGATGCAGTCTGGATTCGATCTTAGTCGTTGGTGCAATTTCTCATGGCAGAGATACCGAGTGTTGTACTTCGGGCATTCAGCCTCAATGTACACATAAAGATTCTCATGGGTTGCTACTAAAGGATAAGGAGGGATGAGGGCTCGGTTATCCTTATTAGGTGCTATAGGGAGCTTGTAAAGTTGGTAAGTAAGTGGCGATATTATTGGAACTTTAAAAACTATAACTATCTGGTTACCCGAATAAAAGGATCCTGTTTCTATAACATTATAATATTCTCTAAATTCTAAATTTAATAGCTGGTCTTTATTATAATAATTGAGTAAATCTTTTAACATTAGTTTTAACGTATTAATACCTAACATTGAATGATGTGTACTTGCTGTACGTGTAAAAGCAAGGATATTTTCTATTCGCTGTAACTCAAGAGATAAGTCATCAATGTTGTCAGTGATGATACTAAGAAGTTGTGCTAACTTTGCATATTTTATTAGACTGTGCTTAACATACGCATCTGTATCTAAGAGCAAATGTAATGTCTCATTAATTTTAATTTGATTTTGTGCAATACTGGATATAATGTTAGTGTGGTGAGCCATCCATTCTTTGCTAAGACTGATATAACTATTGATTTGAGAACTGATTTTATCCTGGTTATCCTTCAGACTTTTGATAGCATTATTATATTTTATAGCATCAGTATAATCTAAATTTCCAGTTAGAGATTTTATAACCGATCCCATTCCATCTACAAGACCGCGCTTTGCTCGATGGGGTTCTAAACTCTCTAGTTGATAGGATACCTTATTTAATTTAGTTTTTAGATAGTCTATTTGAATTTCAAATAAAATATGTCGTTAGGTAACTTATTTTCTAGTTCTATTAATTGACCTCTCACTATGCTTATTTTATTATGAATATCGGTTAATTCTATGTATTGCAGGAAGCTATGGGAATGTGTTATTAAGTTCATGGGTCCAAGTCTAAACGGTAAAAGTCCAGGGCCGTCATCCAAACTTTCAAGTCTTATCTCCTCCGCTAGTCCCAGGGTCAAGGTTAGAGTCAGCGTTATCCTGTAACAATTTAGCGCTATTTGGTACACGTTTTAATCCAGATTTTGCTATGGGACCGCGTTTCTTTGAAGTATAAATATGTATAGGTAAGTCGGCTAGTACTTTGTCGTGAGTATAACGTGGGGCTAGTTTTTGTCGGCTTGCTAAAGGATTCGAGATGAAAACTTGTTGCTGAGGCTGATACTCTTGTTCAGGTTCACGTGTTTTGTTATGTCTTTCAATTATGGCAGTACGGTTAGCTAAACTTGAGTCGTTAATAAAGTCGTAAACTGTCTTCATTTGGTCACGGTGAACATTAATGTACTGTTGCATGAGATGTACTGTTAAGTCTATGTCAGTGGGGTCTCTCGGGTCAAGATGTCCATTTATAAGATCATACGGCCTACACTTGGTAAAACTGTGGACTGAACTGTTGTATGCTATTATAGCATAGGGCATGAGGTTAACGGTTGCTTCTTCCTTATTTTGAAGGCGCAATAGCCTAAGGTGTTCTAAAAGGGTGGAGTGGAATCTCTCAATGTTTCCATTATCATTGAGGGCATTCGCAAGGGTTTTGTGGTGGTTGATTTTATGGACTCTAGTGAATTCTGCAAACATTTGATTAGTGAATTCGGTGCCTTGGTCAGTGACGATAGTGAGGGGTAGACCATGATGGGTAGAATATTGTAGTAAGGCTTGAATTACACTTAGCGCAGTACCATCTCTGAGATGGTAGGCTTGACCATACTTTGAGAAGACATCAATCATGGTGATATATTTGTCTCCTTGAACAGTAAAAAGATCCATGTGGACAATTTCAAAGGGTTTACAGGCAGGAGGCACAATATTAAATTGTTGCCTAATAGGGTTTCTATCGTACTTTGCTTGGCCGCAGATAGTGCACTCGTTGATAAACTTAGTAACATTTTCCTTCATTTTGGGCCAGAAATATTTGCGAGATAGGGATAGATAGCATTCGTTGATGCCTCTGTGATTAGTTTTTCCCTCATGATAGTGTCGTATGATGTCCTGTTGACGTAAGTATTCCTTAACGTTTTCCAGCTCAACTTTTGCTATAACCAGGTTCATTGCTGAATTCTTAAATTTGTCTTGTAAGATAGGAACTATTTTGTATATGCCTAATGGGGGTGTAATGAAAAGGGCAGTCTTAACTTTTGGGTTGACGTATTCTTTGATTACGTTTACCACGTCTTCTTCCAGATTAGATTCAGACAGTTGAGCTGAAATACGCGTGTGACTGTCAAAAGGTTTGGTTACTGTCGTTCATTTTTTTATATCCCCTACAATAGTCAAGCAAAGTTGTCGGTGAAATCTATTCAAAGGGTCGTCGGTAATTGGTACCTCGAGTATGGGATGTTCCTGGTCAGTATGAACTGTGTCAGTTTCAGAATTTTTACTTATAGAGGGAGGAATTTCAGAGGGATTCACAGCCATGGAGTCAGTTTCTTCGTTATAGATTTCTACACGAGATAGGGCGTCGGCATTGGTGTTTGCTTTTCCGGTTTTATAAAGAATGGTATAGTTATACTCGCTTAGTTTCAAACGCCATCTCGTGAGTCTAGAATTTGGCTCTCGCAAATTCATAAGCCACTGTAGGGGTTTATGATCGGTGATTATTTTAAACTTTCGCCCAAACAAGTAAGGCCGAAAGTATTTAGTGGCCCAAACTATAGCTAACAATTCTTTTTCAATTGTGCTATAGTTTATTTCACTTTCGTTAAGGGTCCGAGAGGCATAGGCAATTGGTTTGTCTGTGCCTATGGGCCCTTGTGATAAAACGGCACCGATTGCGAGGTTTGAGGCGTCAGTTGTTAAGTTAAATTCACGGGTGAAATCTGGGTATTGCAATATGGGATCATTAGTGAGTAACTTTTTACATTTTTCAAAACATGCTACGTATTGCGAATCTAAATTTATTGACTTGTTTTTCTTTAAACACTGAGTTAGGGGCTTAGTAATTTTAGCAAAGTCCGGAATGAATTTACGATAATACCCTAGTAATCCTAAGAACTGTTTGATCTGTTTGGTGGTTTTAGGCAAGGGGTAGTTCTCAATTGCTTTTATTTTATCTGGGTTCGGCTTAATGCCATCCCTACTTATGATGTGTCCAAGATACGCCGTCTCTAACTTCAAGAACTCAGACATCCATCTGGATCTTGAAGTTAGATTCCCTCAGTCTTTGGAACACTTTCTCAAGATTCACCATGTGCTCTTGGAGGCTGGTACTGAAAACGATGACGTCATCAAGGTACACAAGGCAAATGACGTTCTGAAGCCCTCTCAAGACATTATCCATCACTCTTTGGAAGGTTGATGGAGAATTCTTGAGACCCATGGGCATCCTCATGAACTCAAAGTGTCCGTGCTCCACGTTGAATGCGGTTTTGTGAATATCATCAGGGTTCATTTGTACCTGATAAAATCCACTAGCCAAGTCCAAGGTCGTGAAGTACTGGCACTTGCCCAGTTTATCAAGGATGTCTGTTATATTGGGGATGGAATACTTATCGTCAATTGTCTTTTCGTTTAGTTTTCTGAAATCGACAACTAAACGCCACTTTTGTCTACCTGATGCGTCAGCTTTCTTAGGAACAATCCAGATGGGAGAGCTCCATGCAGATTCTGAGGGACGTATTATTCCCTGATCTAGCATTTTTGCAATTTGTTCGCGAACCTCATCACGATGTACAAAACGATAGCGGTAACTCTTTGTGTAGATGGGCATCTCATCGGTAGTCTTAATTGAGTGTTTTATCTTATTACTGAAAGTTAAGGGTTCACCTTCGAGATAGAATATATCGGAATATTGAGAGCAAAGTTGTATAAGATTCGTTTCCTCTTCAGGATTTAAGTGATCTGTTCTTAGGCGAGAGATAACATCTTTAACACGCGAATTGTTAGTAGTTTCAGAGTTTGCATACTTAACATCAAAAGCTTCGGTGTTAAATAACTCTGCTACTGCTGGGCGATCTAATGAAAATATAAGGTCATTGTTAGTTGGATTCGTTATTTCTACTATACCGCGACTATCCTTATTATACGTGAGGCATTCGGAAATTATGCAGTTACAAATAGCTTGTTCGTTAACTATTACTTGTCCGTCGGCGGCGTTAATAGGTAATCGTATTAACTTTGATGATTTTGCCGGTATTATATCTTCGTAGAGATTTACGTTCCGCGAGTTATACATTCTAATAGGGTTCGTGGTAGTTCGTGTTGTCAGTAATAGGTCTTTTAAGTCTATGGTCGCTTCCCATTGAGTCAAAAGGTCTAGTCCAATCAGTCCGTCGAAATAGTCATGAAACTTATATACGAAAAATTTTATGTCTGTTTCGTCTCTAAACTCAGGAAAAGGAGGAATAGTTATTGAATGATCATTTCTACTGGTTCCATGTATATTAGATACTTCGAAGGGGTCATAATCAAGTTGTATGTGAGGATAATAGTAGCTTACGGCTTCAGGGCTCAGAAAAGATTGATTGGCACCTGTATCTATTAATAATTTAAGAGGCGGATTGGCAATAAGAACATAGGGTAGCTGCCTCTGTGTTTGAAGGTTCAGTTCTATTTTAAGTTTTTTAATTTCCTGTCCTTCCGAAAATCCTGGTCTTCTGACTTAGAGGATGTAGAGGGCTGGTCTTGCTCCTCTACGTGGCTATACCACTCATCAGTTTGTGGTAGTTCCTCAACTTGATATTGGCATTGATTTGGATCATTATATTCATAAACATGGTAAGGCTCAGGCATATTATAGTAAGGGTCAGTGTCATAGTAGTCATTGTAATAGTAATTAGAATAGTCATCGTAAGGGGTACACTCGTTCACATTTACGTCGCGAGTTTTGAAATAATTTGATGGTGGTGGATTACCATGCTTAGTCCAATCGTGCCCAGTTGGGGGTAAAACTCGAGGCGTAAAGTGGCTTACTCCGCTCATAGGCTTAGGAATATTAGAATTAAAATTGAAATTAGGTCTAGGCGATATTCTAAACATGTTGCTTTGCGGGTTATAGTTATTAGGACGTGCACTGAACATCTGTTGAGTGCGCGTGGGCATATGCATGGGAGGTGGTGGCATGGGTTGTTGGAAGTGAGGTTTCTGCGGAAAATTGTTATTAAAGCGAGGGGGTGGAGCTTGCATGCTTGGGAATTTTACAGGGAAAGAAAACGGTTTCGGAACGGCATAAGCATTTTGCATTGGCATATGTACGGGAGGTCTATAATTAGACGCGTTCTGAACAGTCTTTGGTAAGGCTTCATTACGATTTTGCAAATACATGGTGTTTAACTCTTCTTGTACATATTCCAATGCCTTTTCGATTGTATCAGGACGCATGCACCTTATACGAGAACCTAAAGGTTCCTTAAGTCCGCGTACAAAAGCTTGCATCGTAAGCTTTTTATATAAGTCACGTTTTGCTTCAATTGTTGTAGGTATGGTTTCGTGTAAGGTGACGTACGTCATGATGGTAGAAAAGAGGGTTTGGCATTTATCGTAAAATTCTTGAGGGGTGTTGCTCCCCTGGGTCTGCACAGCTAGGTCATTGTAGAGGGTGGTCTCATCCCTCTGGTCAGTGAAATTATTTACCAGCACATTTCTAATGCCATCCCAAGTCTCAGGAATTCCGTTGGAGTTTATTGTCCTAGCTGCGGGTCCCGTTATTTTATTAAGGATACCATTAATAATAAAAAGTTTGCCAATTTCGCCTGACTGGTCACTATAAGTTTCTACAATCTGGTCACATAACCTCACAAATCTCGTAAACACGTTTGGGTTACCATCAAAATCTGGCACCAGGCGTAAGGCCTTTATAATAACATCAGGATCAGCCATTGTAACTTCGCTTATTGTACTATAGCTAAAACTACTCTCTAAGTCACTATCGATATTCCTATTTCTATCGATAATGGTTCGGGTAACCCTAGTATGCCTTAAAGCCTTAGGGGCCCTATTACTTCTTGGGTGAAAAATCTTGAAAAACTATTATAACTACGGGAAATAAGAAATTTAAGGACTAAAGGGAGAGCAACACTAGAGAAAAATCAGAGGTGTACTCACATAAACATATTATCTCGGTCTTTCTTGAGCTGCTATCAATTTTCGGATACTCCGGCGCAGGCCCGTTCGATATGCAGGATCCCGGTGAGGACTTGAAAGTCTATCGTAGCGCGGCGCGAACTCGATTCCGTGATTCCCAATAGGCTACGCGACGACCCGGGAATCCTACCGACTGCGCCAATTACGTTAGCCACGACCGGAGGCCTCAAAAAAAACCAATTTTATTTTACTAAAACTAACTTTAATTTCCGATACAAGGAAAATTATTACAATTAAAATATAATCTAATTATTTTAAGTCACGACTCGATCGATGTAAGAATCGAAGTGACGCTCCTCGTCCGGTCACGTAGCCCGCTGCGGTGGAGGCACGAGGCTCGTAGTCAGCAGTTTACGCCAGTTGCGTCAATTGCAGCGACCGATATGCGATCTTTCGCTGAATCAGCTTTTAGGGCCGCGTGCACTGTTTTGTGGGTGACTGCTAATTCGGCGTATTCCCTTCTACGTGGAATCGTAACAACTAGTTAACTTTAGTTTTTGGAGAATCCTGTGGGAACCTAACTTTTTTCCGGGATAAAATGTATCCTCTGTCTCATTCCAGGGTTTCCACTTACGTAAAATTTCACCCTAATCCCGTTTTCGTGTGATTGAGTAACAAATATACAAAAACTTTATTTATTTAAAAATATTAGTTGGATTCTGTTTTACTTTATTCGAGAAGCTTGTTGGCAAAGCAGTTAGCTTATCACGTTCGGTCTGTGAACTTAGAAGTTAAGCAACTTTAGCAATGGCCTAGTAAAGGATGAGTGATCAAAATTTAACTATATCAAGCTCGCCGTTGGTCTCGTCTGCGTCTGCAGTCGTTAGTATTAGCACCCACCAATCCTCAGAACTGGGCCCGCGTGGTTGGCCATGGCTTATCTATCCATATGGAAGGCCTGCGCTCCAGTAGTGGGGATATTAATATACTGATGATGATGTATTGTTCTCGTCTCCCGTACTCGATTATTTCATAAACATGAACCAACGGGGACTGCTAGAATTTGAAATTGTTTATTGCATGGATGTCATTGAATATTACTGATATATTACCATACCTTAAACTCATAGTCGCCCTCGAGCCATTTTTCAGGAAAATATTGAGAGTAAACAATTCTTTGGTTGTCCCAGTCTGTTCTGTAAAATAATATATTGTAATTAAAGGTTACCCAAGGTTACTGTTACACTATAGTTATATACACTAAAGTTTTGAAATATTCAATTAATACTAGCGCAGAGTCTAAGCACAATCGAAGCGAATTTCCGAAACAGAAAATTCACCCATATTCCGCAACGTAATGTAGGTAGGTACATATTACTTCTGATGATCGATCAGATGATCAGCTGATAATCAGCGTGTTTGTGCGTTTTCTTTTTCTTAAAAGGAATATAAAAGATGTAAATATATTACGTTGACTCTGCGCTCTAGTATGAACTGTACCCTTAGCACGTATCAATATCGAATTCGTAACGTTTGCGAATCCGAAATGACATTGTCAAATGTAAGTAAAGTGTAAGTACTATAAATTATTTTCAGAAAAATGTTCACGACACCTCGAACGGGGCTTAGGTAAGTACGTGCATTCTGACGAGCCCGAAGAGAGCCAATATAAACGATATGCGAGTGTTGGTTAACCTAATCTCCGTTCATCTTCACTCAATATCGTGGACCATGCAAAATCAGTGTTACCTACTTGTATTTGGTGACAGTAGAGTTGGTCCAGCCTCTTTCGTAGACGTTGTGAAGAGTCAGCGTGTAGCCCATTCCTATGATGGCTCTGGACTGCTTCACCTCGCTAGCGAAGTGAGGGTCAAACGGTGCCACACCCATTTCCGGGATGCCTGTGAAATGCGGATAAAAAAGAATTTAAGCTCCACGCAATAACGAGCTCCTAAAGCTGTTTTAGTACAGGAAGAGCTTATATAGGCTCATACCAAAGACTAGTTAGATATAGGAGCAAGTGATGTGGAGGTGCGTTACTAAATGCACATTTTAATGGGTACCCACTGTAAACACCCGGTCGACAGTTCCAGGTCAGCTACATGCGGCACCCGATATATTTGTAAATAACATCACCCCCTTGATGTGAAGTGTTAGCGGTGTCTAGTTTGGAATATAGCTGACGCGGAAGAAGTTTTGCAACTCCAGCCATCACCATCACACCCGTGAAGCCTTAAACCTTAGATACTCACGAACTAAGAACTATAAAAGTTGCTTTGATTCTGTTCGTGAGTTGCCTTTTATAGGCAGGTGCTTAGCAACGTTATTTTCTCTAAGGGGAGAATACACGTTATTTCCGTTATTTCTACAGATGTTCGGCTTTCCAATTTCGAGCGGAATTTAATAAGTCTCGTTAAAAATAATAAGTAATTTTTTAACTTACCCACTTTGAAATACGGCCGTATTTTGTTGAAAGCTCTCTTCATGCAAACGTCAAATTCCGGCGACTTCATATGACAGGCTGAAAATATCCGTGCTGAAAACAAATAAATATTAAAATTAATAATGCGTCAGTGTGTTATATGTTGGGGTTTTAAATTAAAACTTAATATCTTTATTCTGTTGTTATAAATGTTGGGAGTTCAACAGTGCAGTGTATAGCGTGTTCAGTCTGCGATCTTGGAAGTTAAGCATTTTGGCAAGGGTCGGTCATAAAATAGCTCTTTATGGCCATAGCCGATAGTCAGTCCTTCTACCTGGAGTCGGTACCATCCACCCCGGTCGTCCCGTCCCGTTAACGGGACAGTTGGGAAAAAATGTTCCATCGACCCTGGTAGCCCCGATCCCGTTGTTAACGGGGTGGATGACACAGATCAAGTAACATCTACCCCGGCGTGTTTTTTAACGGGGCCGTTAGCAGAGATTAAGAAGCATAAGCTATGATTTATGCTAACCGCCCTGTTAGGAGTGGTATTGGTTTTTACCAAAAACTATTCTTGCTTCGCGTCCTAGCGCATCTTCGGGGATAAACGCAGACTGATTCCGCCAAAGAGGTAGGGCAGAAGGTAGAAATTGGAGCGCTCCTTGATATCATCTTCTATGTTTGTTTGCTACCACTACTTATTGGATCTTTGTTGTATTTAATATAAACTTTAGTAAACTATTATAAATTAATGAAGAAAGAAAAAAAAACACTGGCCTATCCCTCGATCCACTTAAATCCATTGATGGATGAACCACCCCGTTAAAAAAACACGGCGGAGTAGATGGTACTTGATCTGTGCCATCCAACCCGTTAAACAACTGGAGTCCATGGAATATTTTTTCCCAATTGTCTGGAGTCTTGAATGCTAGAACCAATGTTTTTACTAAATTAAGTAATGTATTTCTAGAGTCCGTAAATATGACAAAGTTGTCCGCAGTTATTGAATCAACATATGCAAGTGCTTCTAAAATAGCAACCATCATCTAAATGTGCATTACAGATAAATTTATTGGGAGTAAAATTTTTGCCATAAGGGTCAGGCCGTAAATTTTGCCACATTAGTTATAACATAACTCTCCGATACATTTTTTAAAAAAAGGACGGTAATTACATTTTTTCAATAACAGAATCATATTTCCTCACAAATGGTGAATCGCGATCAATAAATATATTTAAATATCTTCAAAACCTTCGAAATTTATAAAATATTTTGCTACAAAAAGCGATGAATTTTTCGTAAAATACGCTTATCCGTCCCAGTAGAGGTGCATTTTGAGCATCAGTAAAATCAAAAATAAAAATCTTTTTGATAGTCTATTTGCTTTTACGCTATACAATAATAGTTAGCTAGCCACATTTTAAATATCGTTTCGTATTACCTAAGAAATTTCATACAATTTCACTCATTTTCGAAAAACGTTAAAATCCATTCCTTTGCGCTACTTTTTATTGCGCAACTAATAAATGCCCATTTGGTTGTGTTTAAAAAATAGCAGTATTCTAGTCTGAGTAGTGGCAACACCGAACAAACTTTGTCTATGGTCAATACGCTGTTAGCGGCCATATTTTTTTCAGTCCAACATCAACATCGTTTGAAAGAAGGAAGTGTCATATTTTTTGCGGAGAGTGTTTTTTGAAATATCACGGTAAGTTTTTGATTTATATCTATACTTATTATTGCGCACGATTTAATGAAATGTTTGACATCTTTCAAGGCTTAATTTACATTAAAAAATAGCTTATTTATCAAGTCATAATGGGTTTTGTTTGCGCGACAGTTGCGCAAAAATGACTTTATGCAACTTTGCGATACCAGGGGCGTAGAATTTGCGCTACTAATTTTACGCTACCAAATAAAGGAGCTTACACACATAGGCTTGCAGGTGTTTTTTTTAGCTTTTGTAATATTTGTGTTTTTTTTGAGGTTTCGATTTTAATTCCTGTGAAGGAATTGTATATCTAGCAATAGAACTCTCCGCTTTTTTGTAACACCTTTTAAGACTTAAAGATAAGAGTAAAAGTTGACGTTTGTCATGCTTACCTATTAAAGTGTGTTTTATTTTGTAGCACTGTCCTTACGTTACATATTTTGTATGCACTCCGTAACAATTTTGCGTTACCATTTTGCGTCGCTCTGCGCTATGGACTCGTAGAAATTTTTGCGACACCATTGCGTTATTTGTGGCAAAATCTACGGCCTGACCCATAAAGGTTTATTTAAGTCGAGGCAACAACATGCGACAATGTCAAGAAGAGAAAAAACGAAAGAGAAAATAATTGTAAGTTGTACAGGACGGAAGTAAGAAGAGAATAAGGTTTTCTATCAAGCTGAGAAAGGTACAAATATTTGTTTTTGTTGTGCGATGGTGATAGTGAGGTAGGTTCTATGGGTAGGCCTACCGGGCGAGCGTTGCTGCGCCCTTGAGTCGAACACAGTTGCACCGGTGGCCTCTGTTAGAGATGCTTTGCGTTCAGCATTTGCGTAATTCTCGCGACCGTTTGCGTAAAACATTGATTTACACAGAATTGTATTTTATGATATTTGGGTACCTACATCCATCCTTTTCTATAAATGCGAAAAATACTGTAAATGGTTGTATGTAAGTAGGGTTATCAACTTTTTTTCTATGAAATATAAGTATTTTCGAAGTTGTTACCTCTTAAATATTGTGTAGATGGCGAAAATAAAAAAAACATAGTATGTGGTTAAAATATTTACTTTTTGTTTGAAATGAATATATTTTTGCTGCTATATGCCTTAATAATTAAATTTTTATTTTTAAGAAAGCCTTTACTGGCTAAAGTTTGCTTTAAGCAATATATAGTAGTTTCGCCTACTATAATGTACTTCAGATTAAAAGCTAAAACGCAATAAGTACCGTAGGTAGGTACTATGTTTATTATGTTGAGATTTTTTAAGTTCTTAGGAAGGTATGTATATACCTGTATGTTGACGCGACGTCTTTAAAGACATATTATTCGAAACTTGTACATAAATGTATTTCAAATTCATATGCATTGGAACTCAAGTATGATTTTATTATAATAGGTAGTTGGACCCAGGCGCGGTCGCAGCCTGAAATTTTGGAGGGGTCACGCACTACACTATGTTATTTATTTGTATATAATCTTTATATGTTTAAGAAAATATGTACATTTCTTTATTTTATCTTGCTGGCATACTGCAACTTCCTCTTCATTTAGTTATCCTTTACCGCAAAGGTTGTCTGGAAGAGATCGCTTAAAGCGATAAGGCCGCCTTTGCCCACATTATGTTATTGTTTTCTTATTTTTGTATTCTTTTGTGTGTGTGCAGTAAAGAACTTATCTATCTATCTATCTACACTAACAAAAAGAAGAAAAAAGGTATCTGGAATAAAATAAACATTATTCCGACGAACGACGCATGTCGATTTTGCTAGAATTACCAAAACTACGTAGTTCGGTTCCTTGTTTCTAAACTAGTACTAGATGTCATTGCAAAGTTATTTTGGCCATCGTACGTAGTTCATAAAAACACCACGAGATGTCAGCAAACTATTAATTTATCGCTGTTAGGGGATAGCTAGAATTTTCTTTTTATTATTTGGCAAATTTTTGAGATTTTTCAATTTGACCTTAGATTTGGGGGGGGGGGGGGCATCATGTGAAATCATGTGAATCTAACACATCATCCAAAGAAGGATCACACATGATATTTTATTGAAATCGGCCGACGGGAGACGGATTATTCTGTATTCATCCTATCACGTCTCATCTCATTTCTTTAAGTCAACCTATTACACTATTTTAATATATTTTCCTATACAACGCAAATGAGTTCGTTACTCATATCCAAAGGCAAATATTACGAAAAAAGTATGGATAGCAAAATAACGTTAAATATGTTTTCAGAACAAATTAGGTTTGAAGAAGGAATTAAATAAAAAGGTAGGAAAATTATATTTCTGGAATTTGAAAAATCATATTATTTAAAAATTCCACAGGAATGGAACTTGTGACGTGTGAAATCATTTCAAAAATTTTATTATTAAAGTACAATATTTTTCGTCCAGAGATTACCTATGTATAATTTTCTTTAGATTAAAATACTTAAATTTAAAAATAATGCGATATTTTTATTCATAGACCTTTCTACCACTACGTTCAAAATCAGCACTTAAAAAGAATAAAAAAATACGAAAAAACGTGACAAAAAATAGCTAAGTACTTACCAATATCAGAGGCTTCATGTTCCGATTGAGTCAAATGCAAATAGCACAAAACTATTACACAAGTACTTAAAAATAGCGGTCGCATCTTGGTTTCAATATCACTAATGTATGAGTACTTGATTTGCCAACTTTTTACCATCAAAAGTTAAAAAAAGCTATTTTATTTCCAAATTCAAATATGCATCAACAAGGCACGTATTCAAAGCAGTATAGTTATTGTAGTATTGCGATCTGAAGACGATAACATAGATTAGTTTTGTGCGTGATGGAATAAGTCTGACTCGGCTGGAGTCGGTCAAACTCTGGCCAAACTAAGGTATGCGAAAGTGCATATCCCTTCCAAGGTGCTTGCGACAGAACTCCGAAGCGTATTGATAATAATTGTATCTCGACATTCGACGGAATAAGAAGGCACCTAACTTAAAACTATGTAGGCACATTGTACATTTTATGCAAATGTAATAAGTGGAATATCCTGATTTCTGAGAGTAGTGGGCAAGTATTTAACTTTAAAGAATCCGGTTGTCATTAGATATTTGTATTTTACTTAGAAGAATAACTTATTGAGTCCGATGGAAATAAATTATCAACACGTTATGATATAATATTTTATTTATTGTTGGAGTGTGCCTAGGATATAGAGCTGAGAGGGTAAATATTCAAGAGTGCAGGGTAATTACCTGTGTAATGTAAAAAAAAATATGAAAAACAATAAGTGTGACATTCACTAGAAAAGTCGCTTGTTTTAAAAATGAACTAAATAATGCTATTAACTAGGCTAATAAGCATTAACTAGGCACCTAACTTCTAGTAATGAGTTACGTAATAAGAAAGAAGCTTATGCAAGTTTGGTTTTGTGAATAGCCAATACAGCGCCACAAGTCATGTAAGTTCCAGCTACAATGTTTCGTGCCGTATTACGAGATACAAACTGACGATCCGGTTATCTTGTTTAGATCACGCATGACACGAATATTCATATACTTCTCCAGTAATCAATATAATAACGCAAAGACAATGTGGTTGTTTCACTTTATTTTAGGTCAGAGTAACATAGTCAAACTATTTTTAAGGTTCCGTACCACAAAAACAAAAAAACGGTACATTTAAAGGATCACTTTGTTGTTCGTCTGTCTGACAAGACCTGTACGAGTTAGCTTCGTACAATGCATTTTTCCCGTATCAGCAGTTTGAACTTTAACTCATTTGACATTATTGCTAAAAAATATTTTATATGTTAGTTCGCAATCAACATGCTACCAATGCGGGCGTACTCATGATACCATAGTCAATTAGTAAATAGTCTATTTGTATTTTCCAATATCAATTCTTATTTGTTTCTTAGGTTTTCACGCACATCACCGATTAAATAAAACTAGTTTTAACGGGTTAATGCACGAACTTTATTTATTTATTGACGTTTCGCAGCCTTTTCAGTTCTGCATCGTCAGAATAATAAATCTTATCATTTATCAGGGCCGCCCGAATAAGATCTTTTATCTCTGGAACGCGTGGTGGTATCGAGATGAATTTTTAAACTGAATCTAATGTATTATTATAACTATAACTTAGTAAAATGACCATGAGGATTGCATGGTAAATGTCACTCCTATAAATATTTAATCCTGCATAGCAAAACTTTGGCTACAGAATAAAATTATTTCTCAAAAATCGAAAATGCGACCAGACAGCGTTCTTATTTAAACGGAATAACTGCTGTATGAATGTATTTTGTTGTTGACCACTATTTTTGGCTACCTACCTAGCTACCTTAAATATACCTTTACGCGTAAGTAAAAAGAAGAAGAATATAGCCCAAGAAATAGAGGAAAGCCAATTATAAGAAAATTTTACCGCACTCTAGCTTTTTCACAGATGTTAGGGTAGGTCGTAAGAAGCTTAAGTTAAAAAATAGGGGAATATAGTCAATAATTTCGGAGATATAGCGACAATCGCGTTTTCCAATATGGCGGCCAGCTGTGACCACCCTGCGTTCCCCGATTTTTAAACTAGCTTCTTATGACATGTAAAACACTAGAGTGCGGTAAAATTTTGCATTACGATCAAGTTTAACCTCGATCTCTGTATATTGGACTTGTAGAATACATTGAGGAGCTCGATGGCGCAAGTGGTTGACGCATTCGGCTACGATCGTTGAAGTTAAGCAACTTTCGCAGTGGTCGGTCATTGGATGGGTGACCATAAAATTTACTATCTCGAGCTCCTCTGTGCTTCGGAAGGCACGTTAAGCCGTTGGTCCCGGCTGCTTCTGCAGTCGTTAGCACCCACCAATACGCACTGGGCCCGCGTGGTGGGTCAGGGCCCAATCTCCCTATTCCATCCATAGGGAAGGCCTGTGCCCCAGCAGTGGGGACATTAATAGGCTGATGATGATGAGAATACATTCGTATGTATTCTACAAGTCCAATATACAAAGATCGCAATGGCGCTTGCAACAGTGCCGAAACATCGGAAACTCGCTAAAAACAAGGTACATGGTATATATTGTAATAGTTTGATTAAGTTAGACAAAGGTATGCTTGCTAATCCATCACAACAAGGCCATCACAACAATTATAAACAGATCCATAACAGAGGGTGTATTCCCGGACATCTGGAAGGTTGCTGTGGTTAAGCCTTTACCTAAAATCGACAACCCAGTCACCGTGAACGACCTGCGACCTATAAGTCTGCTACCCGTTGTCTCCAAGGTTTTGGAGAAAGTTGTATGTGAGCAGCTTACAAGATACCTTGAGGCTAATAATATACTACCGGAGCGACAGTCTAGGTTCCGCCGGGATCATAGCACAGCAACTGCTCTAGCAGATGTTGTGGATAATCTCTTGGCGGCTCAGGATCAGGGGTGCCTTAGTATTCTGGTATTGCTCGATTTTTCTCGAGCTATTGACTCCATAAATATAAATCTCTTGCTTTCCAAGCTGGCTTATTATGGAGTCAATGCCCACTCGATAAAATGGTTCCATAGTTACCTTGACAATAGATGGCAGTGTGTTGAGCTGACTAAGGTAGATGGAACAAAACAGCGTTCCGGCAACCTTATGGTGACCCGTGGTGTGCCTCAGGGTTCAATCTTAGGACCGACTCTGTATACTCTATTCAGTGACGATATCACAAATAACATTCGTAACTGCCAATATCACCTGTATGCAAATGACCTGCAACTGTATCTCCCCTTTAAGTATTCTGACCATAATAGCGCTGTGTCAAAGTTAAATGAGGATCTGAAACGTATTTTTGATTGGTGCAGGTCTAACTCCCTGGTTCTCAACCCTAAGAAATCAAAATTGTTGTTGATTGGCTCCAAAAAAAATGTTAATTATTTTAATGATATTACACTAAATGTCCATATAGATGGGGAGAGAATACAGCGTGTAAATAAAGCAAAGAATTTGGGACTGATTATAGATGAGCACCTAAACTTCGAGAGCCACATTGCTGAATGCTCCCGTATATGTTTTTATAGATTGAAGCTACTGTATAAAATTAGACCCTATTTATGTGAACAACTGAGAATCAAGTTGTGTGAAATGCTTGTTTTATCTAAATTGAATTACTGTGATACTGTTTTTGGGCCCTGCCTCATGTCTAGAACAAATAAGCTCATCCAACGCGTACAGAACGCTTGTGCTGGGTTCTGTTTTTATGTACCTCCTCGTTCACATGTGACTCCTTTCTTGAACTCTGCAAAACTGTTAAAAATGGAGGCAAGGATGAAACTTCATCTGGCTACACTATTATTTGATGTGCTGGACAAGGAAAGACCAAGCTATCTTTATAATAAACTTGTATGGATGCGGGATCACAGTCGATACCCAGTAAGGCAGTGTGGGCATATCTTTGTTACAATGAAGCACCGAACAGCAGCTTTTCGTGGATCCTTTAGATTTGCAGCCACGAAATGCTGGAACGATCTCCCGCTGCCAATGCGTAATCTGAATACAATTTATACACATTTAGGAAACATCTGAAAACACATTTACTACATATGCAAAGCTTTTCATAGTATCTACGACTCAATTTATAGTTTTTCACTTTACGTAAACAGGCTTGCGGGGGTTGATTCTGGGTTGCTGGCCAATACTTAAAACAAGTGTAAATTAATTATTATTTAATTATTATTCTCAGATGTGGCCAAAACGGTCACATATTTGGGGAACACGCCATCCACTCTCAATTCAATTCGTTTATTACATATCCACAATGTACAAAAAGATACTCTGTTGTTCACTAAGCATGTTCGATAGTTTTGTATAACACCCTTTTATATGATAGTATGTTTTGTTAGTAAGTATAGATTTGTATTTTTTTTTTGTAAATTATTGTTTCATATAGTTATAAGCCTCGTCAACCTTAGGCCCTGCCAGAATATCAGCGCCGCAGCGGCCCTGGCCTCGCTGTGGCACTATGCTGAGGCAGGGACTTAGTTGGCCTTTTTTCTGTTATTGTATTTGTTTTGTATAATCTATTTTTTTTAAGGCTAATAAAATACTTTCTTTCTTTCTTTTCTTTCTAATCCTGTTATCACAATAAATCCATGTGATACTTGGATTGTAGGCATACCAAAGAACACGCGCTGCTTGAAATCAGGTGGCCGTTAATTTCAGTCTAAAAAAGAAGTCAATTCTGTCTTAAAATTCTATACAAGTTTTCTATTATAATCCGATCCGAAAATGCCTTTATATTATGGCCAAATAAAGGCAATTTTCTGTTTCGGAGATGGGGTCACGGTCGGCATCGCACACGCAAGCGATGCTCATGTTATGATGTTGCAAACATTAAGCTATAGTGGCTGGACACTGGTTATTTGCCACCAATTGCATAAAACAACTATTGGCGTATTGGATGCAATAGTTACATTGTTGCAAATAAGACTAATTTGTGACCAAGGCATAACATTATAGGCTTGGCTTATTAAAACAGAAAATACAGAAAAGTAATTGAAAATCAAGACTTAAGTAAACTCGAGTTAACAGCTTCATTTTGAACCTTCAGGTACGAAACGTTAAAGTACCACTTACAATAATAATGTTTGGTGTATTCCCCTTTCAACCGATGGTAAGCAAACTTCCTCAAAGTCCTTTAACCCCCTTTTAACACATGTTGAGAAAAACCTCATTGCTATCTACAGCTTTTACATCTTGCTTTGCCAGCAATAGGAAGGCAGCCCATTTTTTGAATTTTTTCGAGCGCGGCAGAATACCATATGGTGTGCAACCTTGCACCTTGTGAAATACTCCCACCATACCTGAGCCCTCTATCCTAGAACCTGGTGAAGCAATAAAACAA